TAAAGTCTCGTTTTGTTAGAAGCCAAATATAATCTGACAGATGATCAATAATACATGATTTATTTACTTGAATATAGTGATGATATGGTAGAACAATCCACTCGTTTGTCTCTTATTGAATAGATTAATATTCGATATAGGTTCAAGGAAGTAGCTAGAGATTAAAGAAAATAGATGATTAGCATGTATCCCGAAGTATTTGTAAGTTCGTTAAATACCTTCAATGACTAACACGAGAAGAAACTACTTAATTATGAAACTGTTCTAGAATAAAGATAAAAAAAAGCAAAACTCGATAATCTTTGTTTGCTTTTAGTCTAAATGACAAAGAAAAAAGTTTTTTCTTTTTCTTTTTTTGAGTACCTAGAAGAAAAATTTTTATCTTGACTTTTACTTTCCTTCAAAACTAGACAAAATTAAAAAAAAGAAATTGATGAAAAATATATTCACATACTCTGAAAATTGGACCTTACTCTCTAGATTTGACAGATTTATCTTCAAACTATGAGCAAAAAATCTGATGAAAGAAAGATTTACTATAAAATTCTATAAATTTTAATATGTCTATTTTACAGTATGTTGAACGTGACACGTCAGTTACGCACACGACGCTTGCGCGCAAACAAATTCTTTTGGTTCTGTTCTCGTCTGATTGAGTTACTCATATGTATTAACAGAAATAAAAATGTTCTGTTAGTGAGATTGGTTTATTAAGAAAGTACATAGAAGATATTAATGAGAATCAAAAGATTATCTAATTTTAATATCAAACTTGCTTTTTGCATCAAAATGAGACTAAAATTAAACAAAATAAATCAGATAAAAGTATAAATTGAAAGTATATATATATATGTGAATATTATTTTAATAATTTCTAAGATATAAATGTCTCTTATAAAATCAGTCAAAGGCAAAGACCAACGCACAAAATATGAAAAATCTGGTCGTCGAATACGAAACATGGTCGAAGAATTTCATACTGTTTCTAGGAACGATTATTTTAAAATAGCCAGATCAGTGTTTAATTTTTGAACGAGTACATTCTTTATTCTCAATTATTGTTCACTTCGCGTATTTGTTTGTTTATTGTAAATAAATACTACTTATTTCTGTTAGTAATCTATATCATCGAGTTGATATCGTATTATGATATTGAGTACATATATTTTGAAATAGTCAATTCAAACTGAAATGATATGTCTACATCTTATGTTCTTCTAATTCTATCTTAATTTGCTGTTGATAGAAGTTTGATATCTACAACAATTAGATAATAACTAGATAAGTTCTTTGCAGATAGTTGAGTATTGTGTATGTCAACTAAAATTCATCAGTAAATACTTACAGATCTTTTCACAGCAATGAATTGAATGATAGACATAAATTCCCAACAATCAATTCATATAGATCGAGAAAGATAACATAGAAATATATTTGCTTTTTTTTGATAGATTTTCTAATATTTTGACAAGTTCTCTATATAAATAATTCAAATATCTTTATTAAATTAAAATCAAGGTTTTTTTTAATAAAAGGATGCGAATAATTTCTTTATCATATGTCAAGAAAGCCTCACAAAACATCAATTCATACAAGCAGACAAAATTAAAACAACAAGAATCTTTAGTTATTTAAATCCTCTTATGAAGTGGTATACCAAGTTGAGATGCAGTTGCACTCATACGTTTCATAGTATTGATTTTTTCTTTAAACTCTTGTTCCTGTTCATCTTTTTCTAAACATATTGATGCAATACGATACGTTTGAAAAATTAGAATAAGAAAATTTTTAAATGTAAAGAAATATGTCAGAAATGATCGTACATGATAAACAATAATAGCAGTGAGACGAATTGCAAAAAAAGGACCATCTTGTAATGCTAATGTAACAAGAATTGACCAAATTTCTGAACCAATAAATTTTGATAGTCGTGATTGAACAAAATATTTTACACTTTCATTGACAGACATTCTACGCGGCATTCTCTTTGTACGTGTAGAATTGCAATGGAATGATTGCATTGAATAAAGTGAGCCAACTGATAGTCGAGAATTTACTAATCGTCGATCTTTATTTGGTAATGAATCAACTATAGAAAATGTTTAAATATAATTTTAATAAGAAAAGAAAATATTTCATATACTTAAATTCTTTGGTTTTAATTGGAATTCTACTTGTGTAGTTGTTGCATTCATATTTTCAATAACGATATCCGGTGGATGAAGACTAACTGTTGTTGCTCGTAGTTTCGTTTGCACTGGTTGATTATGCGCCGATGGTTCAGTTGCAGGCGAAGATTCTGATCGTGATAAAATTTTTGATAAAATTTGTCGATAACGTGATGCTGGTTTTGGAGATAATAGTAATACTGGCCGTTGTGACGGTGCTGATTGATGTATTTCAATATCTGGCACACCAAGTTCAGCATGAAATGATCGACCACGAGTTGCCGTTAAATTGAGTGCAAATTGAAGCATACATAGAGAAAAAACAGTAAGAACTGAACGTACCATTGACGGGCTTATTTGAATTTCTTTTTCATTAAATAATGTTAATAAATCAAGAATATCCGAGGCTAATGATAAATAAACAAGTAATAATTGAGACAGAGCACTATGAGAAATATTTCCTTTAGGTAAAATCCATCGTCCAAGAATAATAATAAACATAAAAGAAAGTTCAACAATCATTGCATCTTCAACACCCCATTCTTGTATCTAAATATAAAATATACTTCACACAATCCATTGATATATACAATATATATATGTATGTAAATAAAGTTCATGCAATTGAAAATCATGCTAAATAAGCTGTGCATTTAATGATTCTCTTGTCGGTTGTGCTCGTTGTGATATTGAAAGTGCATCTTTATCAATTGGATCATCTTGATCAACATGCTCCATACAAATTGACCATAAACGATAAAATTGTAGAAATAAAATAAAAAGATTTTTACAAGTAAAAAATATTGTTGTGTATGATTGAATTTCAAAATGTATAACAGCAATAAGACGAAGTACGAGAAAAGGTAAATCTTGCATTAAAATCGTTATAAATATTGATGGAAGTTCACTATGACATATTTTTTGACATACTGTTTGTATTGGTTTTATACCACCATTACGACGTGTTTGTTCTTTATAATTTTCAAGATCTTGATTAGATGGTTCAGGTTCAAGTTTAAAATTTCTTCCACGTGTTGCAACAAGATTAAGACTAAATTGAAATGTTGACCAGGAAAAAACTGCTAAAATCGAATAAACCATATCCATATTTTTAATAACTTTATCTTCTTGAAATATTGATAATAAATCAATCATATCCGATGCTAATGATAAATAAACAAGCAAAAGTTGAGATAATGCCGAACGACTTATTTTGCCTTTTGGTAACATCCATCGACCAACTATTATTGTCATTAAAAAGGTTACTTCAATAGCTACAACCCAATCATCAACCGATAATGATAGTAGTTTCTAAAACATGCAAAATGAAAATGGATAATCAATCACATGCATATACAATACAAATCGTTTTTCATAGCAAAAAAAGTATCACATAACACTTATCGTAAAATCAAAATATTCATAGATTGAAAAATAATGACAATCTCTGGAATGTTTCTGATAAATTCTTTTCTAAGCTCGATAATGACCTTGTTTGCATGAAATATGGCACGTTTCCTGAAAGGTTTAATTATACAAATGGATGATAGATTAGTAATCTACATAGACGAGGATGTTTTTTTCTGAATACTTTTTTATGGCTGGTTCATATGTATTTAAAAACCGGAAGAGTTTTTTTTGACATTCTACAGAACCGGGAATCAATTTTCCAGATCTATATTCTCAAACAAAAAATCTATTCTTTCGTGCATTACAATTCAATAAATATCAAATTATCATGCATCATACAATTCTTAATTGAAGTTTTTTTATTTTTATTTCTCACCTTTCGCATAACAACGTCCTATAAAATCTAGTTGCTTCTTCTTTTATAAAAACAAAGAAATTTAATACACAAACCGTTTTATCATTGAGATTAGCTTTTGAAATAAGACCTTTTTCAATCATTGATGTTAATTCATCACCTTCCGTTTGATTTATTGGTGTTATACCAAGTTTGACATTAATACGATTTATTTCAAGAAACCAAATCGGTGGAATCATTGTGCAAATATAAAGAAAAAAACAAGGTGAAAACCTAAAAAGAATAAGAATATTTATAGAGTTTTTATTGAATAAATTTTACCATTTTGGTTCCTTTCCTAAAAATACAAAAAGACATAAACAAAATGTAAATAGAAATAATTAAATCAAACCTTTGCGTTTAACAATAGTAACAATTAATTCAATTAGAAGGAAATTAACTCCACACATATTTAATAAATACCAATAATCACCTTTTGTTACAACAATTCTTACAATAGCTATAGTTGCATGCAATGCAAATATAAGTCTCATCATAATAGCTTTTAATATATCAAATGAATGACATAACCAACGGCCACATTCACGTAAAGTTTCTTCTGTATTCGGCATAATTTCAAAAAAAAGTATGTCTGAATATTTTACCTAGTCAAAAGAAATCTATGAGGAGAATAATAATGATAATTGTAACGTTCACAAAATCATAAGAATAACGGAAGTAGTAGTCGTTCGGGTGGAAATATCAACAAACGTCAGTAAACAAGAGATTAATAATAATTCTTTGGAAAGACAAACCGATCTCTTTTGTCTCTTACTACCAACAAGAACGAATGAAAGAACGCTAGAGACAGAGAGAGAGAGAGGGAGAGAAATAGAGACTAATTACTCGGAATGTCAAACAATATGTGAAAAGGACGACAAAAAAAATACTTCAAACAAAACTCTATAGATGAAGAAAGATCAATTATTATCTATCGGCATCGTGTAGGTCCCATGGCTCAACACAAAAAAAAGTGCAAAATATATATTGACATGTGAATAACAATAGAGCTTTTGGTTACAATCATTTGTTCAGTTTTATTAATAACATTAAGTTCTAAACGAGTTACTCTAATAGAAAATAACAAACCGCTTACAATTTTCCATGTCCTAGAAAACAATAGAACACGTACATATACTCTTTAGAATATCCATAGGGCAGTTATGTGTATTATTGACATTCAATTAAGATAACAGATCGACATTATCATTTTTTATGTACGAAATGACACAAAACAAACGAAGAAAAAAAAAGAATTTATTGTTTCTATTGAGAATTTTGTTTTATGATCGAGACGGATAAGCATATACAAGTGATGATTGAGAATTTGGTTGGTGAATTAAACGTTTAGTTAATCTTGCTTGTTGTGTCGGTGGTGAACGATAATTTAATTGACGAGTTGAACCTGTACGTGGAGTATTTTGTGTACGAGTAGGTTCATTTGATCGACGATTTCCATATCTTGAACTGCCAAGGCTATATCGAGATTCTGTTAATGAACAACGATATCCACTATTCATTCCATTCGATGATGATCCAGTTAAATTTTGTCTATAGATTTAAATAAGAATTTATTTATATTTTGATTAAAAGTGACAATCTCGTAATAGTAAAATGTTTTTTTTTGTTTATAACAAAAATCCCTATTGTCACTCACAATTAATTTATATGACATTGTATTGAAAGAATTCTGCTCTATCGAAATCTTATATACAATCTTGCAAATTTATTTTATTTAGAAAAGTGTGAGAGAGACTATTTTACCTGCATTGAACAAAAAGATCTGTTGCAAACAGCCAATAAATCAGTGGATTTGCTAATGAATTCATATAGCATAATGATGATGTTACTCGAATAAGAAAATAACTAGTGATAAGATTGAATGAATTCATCATCATAAGAAGAAAATAAGGAGACCAACAAGCAGTAAAAGCTAAACAGAAAAAAATTAATTTAATTTTCTTTAAGAAATCAAACAAAACTCTTTTTAATAATATATTATCGAACGTGTCAAACTTTGACACGATCCACATATTCTTAATAGAGAAATTTAGGCTAAATAAGAAACATACGTAAAAACAACGTCCTTGAATACCGATGAAAAATGTTTCTAATAATGAGAATCAGCTAGTTTTTTTTATCTCGATATTGACGACAGGCTAATTTTGTTGTCAATAAAAATGTCCACTGATTGTTGTTTTAGATAACGATGCTTCCTTGCAAAAATAATACAAAAGACTTTTTTACTCAACAACACATATGTTTGTAATAGTACGTCATCAACAGGGTCAAAAGTAACTACTTGCTTTTATTAAAGACAAAATTACCTGTCTATCATTATTAAGGATATTTCTTTCAAGTTATATATCTTGTTATAAGGTCAAATTTCTTTCGTTTTCTAACAATATAAAACTGTCAATAAGACCTTTGCTCTATGTTCTAAGAAAAATATGAAGAACTATTTTGTTTAATAATATTCTATCATTTAAAGATCATATATAATATAGTTCTCTGAGCAATAATCTTATATTATTACTATTCGAGGAAAAATGCTCTGTCAATAAGAATATTATATTATTAAACAATTTCTATTTTGTTAATTATATCATCAATAACAAAAGATATCGTGAGAAATATATTCTGAAGATGACTTTCACTTCAAGTTATTATATTCATCTTGAATCAAATGAATAGAATTTATGTTATTTGTATATAAAAGATCATTAATTCTATTTTAGACAGAAAAAAAGAAGAAGAATTGAATCTTTTGCATTTACTAACCAATAACAATAACTAATGTCATTTTAACTGTTTTGATTTTTGCTCGAGGTATAACACCAAGAGATCGTACATTACGAATACTTGATTCAATTGAACGATCATCTATTAA